GTGTATTGACTGCCTTCTGTTACATACGTTCTTATATGAGCCTCTTCTCCGCCTACATGTGTGAACGGTCAGTGTGTGCTGGAATTCTTCTCCGTCCCTTCTGCCTGCCATTTTCAATAACTTCAGACTCTGCTTATTGGGCATCCACTTTCCACCGTCCAAGGACTTTCAAGAGCAGTCAAAAATCCCCATGATGCACTAGGCCAACTTTGATAACTTTTAGTTGCGTTGTTATGATGGTAAAACAACATAATTTATCGATCATTCATCAACCAGTCTTCTATGATAACCGACAGTTTTTCCCGGAAGGCCACCATGAGGCGTCAGGGGATGAGACCAAAAGACCTACTGCCACAGCAAGAAACATCTGGTGTCGTTTACCGGATCTGGTACAGTTGCGGACAAAGCAACTACGTCGGCGAAACTGGAAGACGGTTCCAAACGCAAATTGCCGAACACGCAGCAGCGGTACGGAGAAATGACGCCAACTCTCATGTCGCGGCCCATTCGACGAGACCCGGCCACACATTCAAGTTCGATGAGGCCGAAATTCTCGCGAGAGGGGATAATCGCATGGCCCGCGAGTTGCTTGAGTCATGGTTCACGGGACCTCAATCTATCAACAAGTCCAACGACATCCCGCTCCATATTCCGTGCTGAGGCATAACCTGGCATAGCTCTCGAAAACACTGTCTCTTGCGCGCAACTCCAAATGTAACCTACCAATCGGACATGCTTTGGATATTCACACATCCAGTGAGAGACTTTAGCCCAGTGACTTAGTACTCGCCAAATTTAAAATTAACTGACACCCGGCTAAAATCTGAATCTATTCCGGCCTGTGGTTGGGGTATAACTGCAGTGCAAATGCTTCAGCGTTATTCATTGCAACAAGTTCCGACGCTTCCCTTAAAGCCTGTAATAATCTCCTCGGGTTATCGAAAATCTAATATTGATTATTTCACAGCCAGAGTTGTCGCTGATATTTTGTCCAAAATCAGACTAGACACGTGTAAAATTTGCCTCCTGGACACGCTAGGGAGTTTGTTGTCAGCCAAACTCCGCACTGTCCAACTGTCGTTAACGGTAGGTAGCCCACTGGTATCATAGGTAGGCAGTTACATAAGACGTCTTGCTAATTTGACGAATTTGTTACCATTAAGGAGGTCAGAAGCCAAGCCACAACGGTCGTGAAACATGGCGGCCGTTGACGCACTACCGCACTGGGGTATAACTGGTCAATAGGCCAAAAATGGCTGCTTAAGCCTCCTGTGTGTTCGTCGGGCAAGCGCTTTATTATTTGTTTGTTTATCTTTACACAACAACCGGCGCGTCGTTCTCACAAAATCGCTGCTTCAAGCTGGAGAAAGGAACAGGATTGACTAATGTACAGTCTTTATGTTTATGTGGCGATATGTTACAGAAAGGTTTTTCAGTTTTTGGAATCTGCATTTGGAATAATGAGGCCATACAGCTTACAGCAGGTTAACTTTGCACAGAAGATCAGTACTATACACAAGGTCATTCGATAGGACACGCGAGTTAATAAAAGATAATAATAATTTAAAAACATAATTCGAGAAAGAGACAAAAAGGAAAACCTAACACTAAAAAGTTGAGCACTTGTCTAAATGGCTATTAAGACAGCAAAATAAATCCCTCGTCCTTTTATCATGAAACACCTCCCAAACAGCAGTCAGTCTGTGGACCCACAAACACTCCTACGAGTTCTCGTTCGACCATAAAAAATTCGGAAATTGCGCCACACAGAGGCAGCTTGTATACGGTGGGAGAAAGCCGACTTATGCAAACAGCTGGACCATATGGTCGACCTCGACTTGCCCACGTAATCCTCAGTCCTTAGGTTTACGCTCCCTATTTTTGCGTGTAACCTTTAGTCTTCTTTCCTGAAAATACATTTTTATTTATTATTTTTATTGATTAATTTGTGTGCGCCAGGTAATGACCCTGCAGTTTGGCATCGATTTTTCTGTGTAAATTTAAGTTGCTGTAGACTTTCGTCATTAGCATGATGCAACAATGGGTTGCAGGTTATACGCTGTCGGAGAATTTGCTGGTGCCAATAAAACCGGCTGTGTCTGCATGTTTTAAATTAAAACCGGGCAAAAATCGTTTTAAATGTCTTAAACCTCAGCACGAAGCTTGTTTTTGTATTTTTGAAACATCCGCATGCTTGTCTTTATATAGGAATGGAAGAGCTCTTCTCCTGTGCATTTTTATGTTAAGGCAGATAGTGATAAATTTCATAAAGCGATTTTGCAGACTGCTTTCTACGTCATAGTACACTTACTGGCTGTAGATGGCGTTTTTAAAATTGTTTGTCTAAACAACTTTTGTGCTTTTTGCTATGGTATTGTATTGTTATTGTATTGTGGACTGCATTTGTGCCATTATTCGTGTTATTTGCCATTCAGTCTGAAGGACTGGGAAATAATGATCTTGTTCGTCAACCTTCACAGCAATGATGTATTTAAAGCGTTCTGCTTGCCACCAAAAAATATGTATTGGTTCGTGCTTAGCCGGGTGTATTTCTTTTGGAAAAATTCGCATTGGAAT